TTCAGGGTTAGATCTGCCTCACCCACAGGAAGACACACATACAATGGAGTATCGTCAAGTCTGCTCAGAGCATTCTCAAGCAAAATCTACAGTTAAGGCAAATTCATTCTAATCTTAGGTCATTCTCTGCCTTTTTAACACAAATTCCACCCTCCACACCCCATTTGGCTACAAATGAAATCTATTATTTGAATTATCAGTATGGAAACTTTGATGTCCCAGTCATAGCATTTTTTCCTGTATTTGAGATTCATCAGCATATCCTATGTTCATTCTTTCCTCCTAACTATTTTTTACACTTTCTGTCATTCTAGCTTGGAGAAGAGCAGAAAAATACGATGCCCTGAACTAGCTGTTATTTTTCACTTTTCTCATCAGTGGCAAGTAATCGAGAATATTTGGGAGTTTTTCAGCTTGTATTTGAAAAATGAAGAGTGCAGTTTAGCCTTTTAAATTTTTTTTTGTGTTACAGATTTCTGTGCATTATGTGATCCATGCAAATACCCAAATACTTTTCTGCAGTAGTGCTTGTCGTTTGTGCTTTGGATTTCTCCATTTGGAGAGCACTAAACTGAAAGTTCTATTGGACCTGGCGTTTGAGTTGGGTTTTGATTCCTTTGTTTGGTCTTGTTTGTTTGTTGGATTTTCTTGTTGCTGTTCTAATTGATCAAAATAATTTTGCATTTTAAGGTTTTCCTACAAAGAGTAAAAATGGATGGCTGCCTTATTCCTGCTGACAGAATGAAGCAGTTCATTAGTGCAGCTTTGGAGCCTTGGGCTGGCCTAGATTCTGATTCAGAGTTCTGTGCCAAAGGTTTTGCCTTTAGTTGAGGTGGTAATTTGCCTTTATATGGCCTCTCTGGTTAGAAATGCTTAGAGCTTGCTTAGCAATGTGACATGTGACTACAAGCAGTAATTGGCCATTATGAATATTTTCAGTATTGCTCAGTCTATGTAAAAAAAAGCAAGAAGGAAAGATCTTTCTCCTGACATGGTATCCAGTATGTTCAGGTGCAATACTTGTTTAGGACTCTTTCACAAAACAGCAATGGCAGTTTGGAATCAGCAGATTTTTGGGCATTGTTTCTTGATAAGTGTATCTACTGAACTGTCTGATCTCTATAAAGCTTTGTGATCACCTGATTTATTACTTTGTCTGAGTATCCTAAATATATGGGCTTGGGAAGACACAGGTTCTGAGGTGGCATCCTCCCTGACCACCTCTGTTGATTTTTGTTCTCTATAATAGAAGTGCATTTCTGCAATGCATTATGCTGTCTCTTTCTGACCCTGCTTAGGAAATACTCTTATGTGCTCCATGGTTACAGCCTGTTTGGAAATGAGATTCATGTGTCACTCTTACATTTCCTTGCATAGTACCTTCCAGTCTGAGCTGAGTTAAAATCATTAGTTTGCCTTGCTTTCCACTCCTTTTAAATGGTACTGTCTCTCAGCAGTCCTGAGGTGCTTCACCCTGTGTATGGCCACTTTCCTAAGGCATGCTATCCCATGGTCTGTAGAAGGTTTTCAGGTTGGGCAGTAAGAATATTGTAGAAGTAGAGTTCTTCATAACCCTAGCTCTTCAGATATCTATCAGAAAATCAGAAATAAACAGAAGTTGGGTTTTTTTAATTGAAGATCTAGATTTTTTAAATTCATAAAAATAACAACTCGTAACTGTCTTAAAGATATGTAGGTAAAATCATGGCGTTTCAGAGGTAAAAAATTATAAGGTGTCCACATTGACTTAGTGGTATTATATCGATTGTGAACTTTGGAGAGTGATTCAGCAAGTGTTAACAATGGCACCTTGAAATTCTTCAAAAAAAATGATACCAGGAATTCCTGATTTGTATCATTAACAGGGCAGTGTTACAGAAAAAACTTTATCTTTTCAGTTCAATTTTTAGGCATTAAAGTATTGTATTTCCAAATATATTACTTTGTCATTCTAACATAGGAGAAATACTGTGCAAGGAAAATGAGGCAATCTTAGAGTGGACAAGTGAGTTGGAGGCTGGTACTCTCGTCCTGCAGAGACTGTGGATGTACCCCTGGCCCTAATTAAAGAATGCTATCACTGAATTCAGGGCATCCACTATTACACACAGCAGACTGAATCCCTCCCAGCAGTTATTCTGGAGCAACCCTATCAGCTGGCTCCATCGGGGTAATGGAATGCAGATTTCACACAAAGAGATACAAATAATTCAGTGTTACATCGGGTTAGTTTTAGTTAACTAATAAAAAAAGGCTTGATGCTTTCAGAGTTTTGTCATCCTGTTTTTGCAATATTGTTTTTAATATTCTCATCTAAATGTAGTATAAGCAGGCAGAAGCATTTCATATAAAGTGACATTAATGCATCTTTCTCTTTTTTTGCTAATCTATAAGGTACATTGCCACAAAGCCACAGTGTTGATTATTAACAGCCTCCCCTAGACTGCAGAGTGGCTTCAGCAACTCTGTAAATTGGCTAGATTTGAAGCTGTTAATTATGCAGTATAGTGTGCTTTATAAAGACAGAAATGAGCATGCCTTGGCTCCGTTCTTGTGAGAATAAATTGTAAAATTTGGACCTCTGTTTGGTTTGATTCTGGCTTCACAGAGAACAAGGCTATTCCATACGACAGGCTTGGCAAGTACAAACCGTGTACTGCATTAAAAAATCAGAACATGTTCATAGTGAAGTTGCACACCTGGCAGAAAGCCAGGGGCTCTGCAGAGGTCCAGGGCTCATTAACAAGAGGTGCTCTTTACCATTTTGTCAAAGAAACTGAGAAACATCTCAAATCCAAACATTGTGTAAATCATAAGGAACGGGGGGTTTCTCTCTTCCCTGCACTCACCAGCCACACTCGTATGTGTCTCGAGCTGCCTGGCAGCATTTTGGGATCACCGTCTGCCTGCTGGAGAGGAAAAGGCACAATTACCAACACGTACTGCTCATCTCACAGCCAGGCAAATGATCAGTGAGGGTGAGGGGACAGGCATCTTTTAGTTAGGCTCTCTGTTTAGCTTTTTATGGCAATGGAGATGTTGCATAACAGATTATGACAAGATACTTTTACCATAAGTTTCCACCTATACATCAAGGCATTTTTACAGGATGCTACTACTTCTGGAGCAAATCTGTACATATTTGCATCGTTTTTCTTAAATTGTGAAAGCAAATACACAAGCCATAGAAGAAAAAAACAGCTCCATGTATTGGAATGATTTGTAAATCTTCTAGAAATATATTCAGATAAGAAGATTTTATGTCAAATATATGAATGTACATTTATAACTGTTGCAAGACTGTAGCACTGTAACTGATACTCGTTGAAATATCCTGAAAGCAGTATTAAATGTTCAGTATGTCACAGTGATGAAAAGTAAAATGTCATTTTTGCAGTTCTAAAAGTTTAAGTGAGCTATTTAAAAAGAACAGTACACCTGGGATTTCAACTGGGTTATTTTTTAAACTGACAGTGAAAGAAAATTACTATCTCAACCAGTGTCTTAATCCATAGAACAAAGAGGACTCTGTAGTTTAAACACGCTAGAATAAGTTAAACATACTAAAATAATAGGTGCTAAATTCCTATAACTCTTTGGTGTCTTTTAAACTTTGCAGTAAATGCAGGTTACCTGGTGGATTTTTTTTTGACCAGTAAGAAATGGAATACTTGAGGGAAAACCTTAACTGTATCATTCAAGCTAATGTGCAGCATTAAGTTTCTTATCAACAAGATATATTAAAATGGAAAAAATGAACTAGCAAAGCCATCTTGGGAGTGGGATTATTAAATTCACAGTTTGCTGCTGCTAATATGTTAGTAGGCTTCAGCTGTTTGACAAAGCTCATACAAACTCATTTTGCAAAACTGATTATTATATGAAATGCCCTCTGTCATTGCCATGGGAGAAATGGCTCTGAATCAGGGCTGTGTCACAAATGGGATTAGCTGAATGATCTCAGCTCAATACCATTTACCTAACAGAATTATGAAGATGATGCTGATATAATGAATAGGTTCTGCTCAGACAAATGTAGTCCCCTGGAGATAATGGAAATTCAGTGAAGAGCTCTTTGCTTCCTTTGGTTTATATGAAGAGCTTAGACTCTAATTAAGTCGGTCCTCACACTTCTATCAGAATTATGTTACTTTATGATTACTTATTTTGTTTTGACAAACTTCATGTGAGGGACAGAGATACAATTACAGAGCTCTTTAGGCTAGTTGCTTCTGGAAGGTATTTTTTCTTAAATTATGCTTGTTTAGCAGGTGTTATTCACAGATGAAATATGTCAACTGGAATAGCATGATTATTAGAGTTAATATGGAATTGAATTCTTTTATGTAATCTACAAATATTATTGTATTTTGTAGTCAATGTTTCATGAACAAACTCAGGAACCAGCTATAGTCAATTCTGAAGGAACCTTCCCACAATTTTTTTTCTTTTGATTAACAATTTGTTCATATTCATACTTGTGAGAAAACTTTCAGAACAAAAATTGTTTCCATTTTTCAAGTGGAAATAGTGAACTATATACCAGTAAGAGTGAAAAACAAACTATAATACTGAGAACTTTGTACATAAGCATTTTAAGTATCTGATAACAAATCTGAATCTCAGAATGAAAAAAAAAATGTAATATTAAGATTAGGACTTTCAGAAGCTAAACTGTTCCCTGGTGTAAATTTCTGTTTCACCACCATGTTCTTGAAACACAGCAAGAAACAAGAATGTTCTTCTGTGGTGAGTCTTTATGGATATTCAATGACACTATGAAGTACAGAGAACTGTACCTATCAGAGTGCTAGATATTTTTTCAAGGACATTTATTTGGAAAGAATTTCTGTTGGAATTTAAGAAATAGTTTTGCTTGTGCATCCAACAATATACATGAAGAACAGACCAGAATGGTAAAATATTTTTCCTGTTAAAAAGCATTGTGGGTTAGTATTTGCCATGAGTATGTATAATAAAACAAATATTAATTCTTTTAGGGTGAAAAAGGAGATAAAGGAGAACCAGGACCAGAAGGCCTTCCTGGAACAGAGGTAAATGGAACAATAATGAAACAGTCAAGTTACAAACTTCTGGGTGGATGGTTAAGAAATGTAATTCAGACTTTATGTAAGAAGAGTGATGGATTTAGACATTGTGTATGCCTGGAGATTTAACATATGCAAAACAACAGGGGAAGAAGAGATGCATTCATGTTGCATAGGAGTTCTTAGGGCTTCCTGTAAGGAGGGCTGTGGATAAGGATCTGGTGGGTTCTGTGATTTTTCTCCTCATCACTCACGAGATAAACAGAAACAAGCATGGGGATTAAACATAATATAGATGAGAATCATTCCTTGTTAGATAATCTACTGGAGAAGAAGGCATTTTTGGAGGCAGGGTAAAGCTATGGTTTGATGGCTTTGGTTTCTGAAAGAGAAAATAAAAAATAAAAAAGCTGTTAGCCATTCCTGGGTGTGTCACTCACTGTGCCATGTGTCTCTTGTGATAGAATCAAAACTTAACTTGTTTTTGTGCTGCCAGATTTCACTGCCTACTTAGCTAATTGGAGTGGACCATATTTAAGGTAGCATAAGTCTGTATCTAAAAATACTGGACAATCCTGATGACTGAGTTCACATTCAGGTTTGAACCTAAGCCTACACTATAGGCATGACTATAAAGTAAACCATACTTTGCCTAATTTAAAATTTTTATTTCGTTTTGTATATGTGAAATCAAGATGAGAGGGCAAAAAATCAGGTGGGTTTTTTTCAATTAAATACTAAAATAGACAACCAGCATGATTTCAAAAAGTGAGATTTAAAAAATCATAATAATAAAGTCAAGCAAGCTGTTTGCTTTACATCCTCTTCCCATCCTTCTCCCTCTTGACCTTGATGGGCGTTACCCTGGCTTTAGGTTTTAATGCTCTTGGCTCTCCAGTTGCAAAGCATTGATGTTGGAGGCAGAGAGCATCTCCTAGATGGGGAATGACTGACATTAGGACTAGAATCCAGATACAGGACTTGGAAAGAACATTCAGTGTTACTTTTTTAAGCACCTTTTCTGAAAAAACAGAAGGCTGAGCACTAAACATAAAAATACTATGGCAGTCTAGCTGGGATTACTGAAGGTTACTGAAAATGCAGTAACACAAGCTAAAAAATTATGACACTTTTTACATCATCTGGCTTTCTGTGTACACTGTAAACATAAAAATATTTTTCCTCTTTTAGGTAATTATAATTTAATGCTAGGTAAATCAGGCTGTTTTTAAGTAATAGGGGATGTCCTTCATGTGAGAATATACCCTTTTACTAAGCTGAAACTACATTTAGGTATTTGAAGAGGTATTCTCTTGTAGACTGTCTGTCTGCAAAGGTGAACTGTATACTTCTCTCATGCATACATATGTGCTGACAGCATGGAAAGAGCACATCTGTGTTTCTTTCCTTAGCTCTGGTGACATTTCTGTGTTGGTCTTACATGATCTTCTTTACTACATGAGATCTTGTTCCATCAACCTTTTAGGAACAGTAAGGTATACCAAGTATCTGATTAACTCTAGGACATATTTAACATAGTGGCACTGTGAAAGTGAAAAATACTGAACATTTATATTTTTTAAATATTTACTGAACTGTTGCAATGTGTCAGTAAATGGTAGATTATTATGGGAACTGTCACTAAAACAGAAGTAAAACTGCACATGGCAGTATAACATTGTATTGTTTGAATCCACACATAATTCCTTTCTAACAACACTTACATAAAGTTCTTTGAACTCAGTTACATAAAGTTCTTTGAACTCAGTTATCACTCTGCATGGAGATATCAGTCCTTAAATTTACAGGACTGTGTATCATTGACTCTTGGTTTCTATCAGTGTCTCTGACTTGTTCTGCAAGAAGAAATGTAACATCTGATATTTCTGCAATAATCCAGATAATCTACATACATTGGTGTACTCTGCAGTGCTGTATAAAAACAGCCTGAAAACACTTAAAGCTAGTGGCATTGCCTTCTGGCAGGTGTTGTCTCTGCCTGGGGGAGTGAGGGTTTCCATCTTCACAAGAACTTGAAGATGATGACTGAACATTTTATCTTGAACAAATGGTAAAAACATATTTGAATGTATTTAAATCAAAATCAGAAAAGTAGGTGTCACAGACAACTTTTGCTTGCTGTTGCTAACTTGTGTTTTCTTAGCTGTACAGAAAGTTCTTGCTAGAAAGAAGTAGCATGACAGAGGGGAAGCCAGACCTGGTTTGGAGACTAGGCTGTAGTGATGATATACCTAGAAAGTTTTAATTTCCTCTTCTCTCACTTGTTGTGCTAAGTGGCTCAGTTAATCTCATTGAGAGCCAGGTTTCGAGGTGGGAACTGTGAATATCTCTAACTGTTCTGCACACATCCCAGTTTATCTCTCCAGTAATCTGAGCCAAGATCTACAATGCTGTTTCCCAGCCTGGGACATTATTCAAAATCCATCTGACAACATGAATACTTGCTATAAATAGTACTAATGTGGTTGCCATTGTTTTTAGTTTCTTAAGGAGTAGTTATAAATAACTTAATATATTAATAATATTGTCCTGTAGTACATGTCCATGTCTCTTAGCAGGTATTAGCTTTTATAGGATGAACAGCCAGTTTGCTTGAATAGTATCTCCTTCATCCTTTGAGACTCTTTTAGCCACTTGACATTAAACTCAGGTGCCACATTGCTGCCACCAAAGTCCTGTAATTTTTTTAATATGTTGTTTCCCTTCACCATTCTTTTGGATATTTTGCTTTACAGTTGGGTGTGAGACCTGTCTGCTTTTGTCACTGAGGAGTTATCGGTGAAAGGTTGGATTTGATGATCTTGGAAATCTTTTCCAGCCTTAATGATTCAGTGATTCTCTAATAATGCTATCATTTATATCACTGCAACAAATAGAGCTTCATAGACACACTAACTGAAAAAAACTGATAAAAACACTCGTAGCCTGTGTGAAATAAGGACAAATTTGCAATAGAAATATCCATGAAACTATCTGTGGAATATATTCTCTGTTATATCCATATGTCTGCCTGTGGATCTGAAATGAAAAGAAATCTTTATTACTTTATTAAAACTTTTGGACTCTTTTTGAGTCATGTTGATTTCTTGATCACTGGTGCAGGTAGGAATGAATGCCATGGGATACTGCCAATTACTGTTTTCTGACATAACTTAAATCTTTCAGCAAAAGTAAATCAAAACAGCAAGTTTTATCATATCTGTCAGCATGTGTCATGCATAGCTGGTAGAGGAATAGTGTCTTTCTTGTAAATGGGAAAAAAAGTAAAACAAATCTGAAATTAAAATCTAGTTCATATATATTAAACCAATTGTTTAACGTGTTATTTTTATTTCTCTTGCTGGGGGAGGTTATATCATAAGTGACTTTTCTAAAACCTTCCTACATAAAATTTTATTCTTTACATAGCTGATGTCAAGGGATGGACCTCTTAAGTTCAGTAAGCAATAAAAGGATCTCAGGTTATCAATGGAAAGATAGAAAACGTATTAGACCTTTTTATTTCGATGCTTGTGGGAAAAGATAATCAGAAGTATGACCATTTTTAAAGGAATCCTGCATCTTGATATAATAGCAATAGTTGTTTACCTTCACAATCTCAGGGGCTGTTTAACCTTCAACTTTCTTTGTATTAGCATTGCAAGGAAGCACCTGAAAAGGAAGGGAATAATCCTATTGCTTGAAAAAGTGAAGTTTGTGATGATGTTTGTTTATATCTAGAGTCTGAGAATTCTGTTAGGAACAAAAGTATTAGGAGGCAGTAAATTTAATTTAGGGTCCAGTAAATTCTAATAACATACCAGTTTGAAGTTTAGGAATTCCATTAATGAGAAAAGAGCAGTGGCAGTATTTAAAAGTACCTGAGACATAAACTGAAAAAAAGTACTTTTTTGGAGCTCTGAAAACACTTTGCTAAATTAGAAAACTTATCCCAACATATCCAGGTTGGCATTGTACATCTGACTTGGAAGCTGTTGTTAACTTAGATTTTAAGGCTGCTTTGTGAAGAAAATGTAGTTCTGTTCTCAGCAGTTAGAGTATTTCCAAGCTCTGTTACTCAGCAGAGATAACTGATCTGATCATTATTAGTGTGGTTGCACACTGTTGGTTAGAATGTTGGATTGTGTACTGTATTTCCATTATATTAGATAATATGTAATGTTCTAGGAGATTTCAGCCTAATGTGACATTGAACCAGATTACTCTGATGAAGGCCATGGAATTGCAAATAACCAGTTATGTTTTCCCCAAGAGTTATCTTTTAGAGTCGAAAACCTGTTCTCTTGAAAATATTATTGCAGTCTGACTGCATTTTCCATTGCCACATGTGTGCACCATAGTTGATGCTGTACAAATAGGTGCAATTCCAACACTTGGCTTCTGCAAAGAGCTGCTGGAGTCTTCTGGTTGGGGTCCAGCTGATCTTTGCAATTTTTCATTCAGAAGAGTACCTGGTGTCAGCTAGTGGTACATTTTACCTATTTTATGTGTTTTTCATTCATTCCACAAGAAGAAATACCACTGTCTCCCTTCTTAACAAAAACACTGCCTCTAATTTAATCTTTCCCTCACTGACCCCAATTCACACCCTTACTGATATTTGTGATATATTGTTGCAGTAATTTCTCTGTTGATTGGAAGTTGCATTACAGTTATCAGTTTTATTTTATATATGTACATAGAACATTTCTCATTTCCGGTATTTCCAGTATTGTTATCTTGTTAGCTTTGAATTGGCCTTGTATGTACATATTCTAATGCTTACTTTATATTTTGGTTTTCCATAGAGGAACCATAAAGTAAATTTATCATGACCTGCAAGAAGACCAAGCTGTTGTCTTTTTAGAGGAGAAAATGTATCTGCTGAAGAGTGTTCATGAACTCATAAATGTATATTATTATATTAGTCCCAACAAGCTAGAATTAGACTGGGATAGAATTCAATACCCAATTAATTTACTCTCTGTTATAAGAACTGCTGGAATTTTTAATCTGTTCTTGAATTTCTGGCAAATCTGGTAACAGACTCCTTAGATCAATAGAAATCCGTTTGTTTTCAAAGCTGACCTTGTTCTCCTAAAACATTGCAGAAAATGAGCTTTTCTAACTTAAGACTTTGTCTAAAATCATCCAAATTATATCTGTTTGGATAACCACATTCATTTTACTGAAGCATCCTGTTCTGGTCTCTGCCAGAGACAGGATATCCTACTGTACTGTGTTAAAAGGGGCTACAGATTTGACTTGGCAAGGAATTCTTGCTTCTTATGGCATTTCAGAGACAGTGGGCCAGCAGCTAAACCTCTCAGCAGCTTCAAAAGGATGACTGTAGGGAAGAATAGGCATGGTGCATTCCCAGATGCGTTTTTTGCAAGCATTTACTATGTCTGGAACTTATTAAGTTTATTATATTTTTAAATGCATATATAATTGTAGGCTAACCATATATACTTCTAATGGGTCTATAACATCTGCTCCTTAAAAAATCCTCCTTCAAACACTGTAAGGTTTCTTGTAAAACATGTAGTTTCCCCTTGTCCTTTTTATTTGAGGTCAATTGCTGTGGTCATCATCTCTGTAGTAGCTGTCAGACTGCACACCTCACTGAGGTGCTCTTGCAGGAACACTACCAAAAGCTTTAAACACAGAAATTAGGAAAAAATAAGGTTCATAGTTTGAAAGTGCATGGCTCGGGCTCAGCATCTTTGATCTGCAGTTGCATTTTCTATTCAGTAGAGACACATAGATATATGTCACCATCTGTGAATTGCAGGGTTTTTTTAGCCTTATCTTTTGTCTTCTGTAAACATACAGCCTAAGAGCTAATTCCTAAACTCATAACTATTGTTCCACTGCTGATTTGCTAGTATTGATTGTGCACTAAATCCATACAGTCTGCATACCTGAAAAATCCCTAAAATGGCTTTAAGAATATGGATTTATTGTGTTTTATGCTGTCTTTCAGAAGGAGGTTGAAAGTAAAATGTACCAAATGGAGACAATATTAAAGCTATGTCATAAATATGCAGATTGTAAAAAGAAAGCAATTTTTTGGCTTGGTTTTTGAATCCATCTGCCTATTACATTTTTTAAGTTCAAACAGCAAAACTACTTCTGATTTAACTATTACATATTTGGCAAGCTTAATAAAGAACAAATCAAAGCTAAATCAGGGGTATTTACAACAACCACAAATTTAATCCAAAGTGGGTACTTAAATGCTCATATAGTTCTAAATGATGTTCCTTCCAGATGGTGAATTAATGTAATTTTAGCAGGAAGTGAAGTTGCACAAATACGCAGTATTTCGAACACTCACTGATTTCATGTTTCTGTACCCACCAAGGCACAGATGTTAGTTACCATTTTCGTGCCAGTTGTCTCTATCTTCCTAATAATTGCAAACTGAGGAAGAGAGTTTGCAAGGACAAAAAGGGAGCTGGGAAGAACTTTAGTTTGTAAATCCCAATTCAGATGTAAATGAATCTTTTCTATCCTTGACCTATTTAACCTCCAGAATAATGTCAATGGCGGCTACTTGTGGAGCATCTCGTTATGACTGGGTCTTGTATTGTCTATATTGTTGCCATTTCATTTCTTTGTAAAATCTTTGAACTTCTAGGTGTCTCTGACTTTAAATATTCACAGTCTCTCATTCCACTAAAGCAGTGGTCAGAGGGAAGGCACAAGACAAATCTCTCTGCTTAAATAAAAATGAATTCCTGGTAGATTGGTCCAGCATGAGAATTAAGTTCATTCATTGCTGTAAAATGGCCTGAATTTACTGGGCATATTTTGAAACCTCTCATTTTTTGTTCTGCAGCAAGGAGAAAACAACAAAGACTGTGTGCTGGGTACTAAAGATATTTTATGGGGTTTCTTTTGGTGCTTCTGGTGAGAACTTCTTAGTGGTAGAATTGTAGAGGGTAGATTCAGACTAGGTGTAGGTAGGAAATACTTTACAATGAAAATGGTGAACACTGGAAAAGGTTTCTCAGAGAGGCTGCAGATGCCCCATCCCTGGAAACATTAATGAATGGGTTGGATAGGACTCTGAGCAACCAGATGCAGATTGGTAATGTCCCTGTTTGCTGCAGGGGAAGTTGAACCAGATGATCCTCAGAAGTCCTTTCCAACCCAAACCACTCTGATCCTGCGAGTGTGAAATGGCTGTGTGTGTCAAGTGTAAGGCTAGGCAGTACTATTTGCTTCTCCTGCTGAAAGCAGAGCTAAAGAAGAATGTATGAAGGAAATCTCTAATGCCTTTGTGAACACAGGTGAAAATGAGAGTGTTGGAAGATGTGCAGCAGCTCTGAGCTGTACCTCCCTGGAGTTCAGCACTGCTACTTGAAACATAAAATCTGCAGCTTCTGTCCACCTCTGTCCCTTTCCCAATTTTAGCAGTGTTCAAGTAAATGTACTAGCACTCCCTCTAATAATCTATTTTATCTTTGTTGGCCAATGCAGGACTGCAAAGGAACTTTGCATTTCAGCTCACTACTTACCATAATGGGGCACAATAAAGTAGACTAACTTTGTATGTTTAATTATGTGTTGAAGATACATGTGGTCCTTGATAGATGTTTGTCTGTTCACAAAATAATGAAAATAGACAATTTCGAGATAGTACTAATAACATGATAGAATTTTAAGGCCTATTTGTTTAGTGTATACTAATTCACAGTGCTACAGGATTGTTCACAGATGACAACAAATATGCATTTCTCTTTCTGCCCAGGGACTAAAAGGTGACCCTGGTAGTCCTGGTGTGGCTGGTCCAAAAGGAGAAAAGGTACATTTTTAAATCTATTAAGTTGTATGTATATGTGAGTGTCCATGATATTCTTCAGTTTTGACCATGTTGCCATAACTGTGTGTCACAAACACCCACTGCTGCCATTTGTGCTACTTAAGGGTTAAAGAATATGAGTACAGGCTAACTGTAAATGCAAAAGACAAGTACCCTTTATCACAATGAATTTTAAAAGGACTTCTGAGTAGAAGCCTAAATTTGGTATTCTGAACTGCTCTCTGGGTGCACTAATTTGCTCCCATGAGCTAAACCTGAAGGTCTCAGATGTGATTTGTACCTCAGTGACCTAATTCTGTGAATATTTACACAGTCAGATGTCTTTACATATGTGAGCTGTCACACTGGCTTCAGCAGCCACCTTGTGCATGTAAGCTGCAGCTTGTAGCTTGACATATGGAAATGTGTTTTGAAGGATTGCTTTTTTAAGCCGTGATTCATTTATGCAGAGCCCTGGAATTTTTTTTCCCTTTAACCTGTGGTGGACTGTGTTTATCTATGCCATTACTGGAGAAGAATATCACTTTACTCACATATTTTCATAATCAACATGTTTGGTGATTGTACTGAAATCACTTCTGCAGTGCTGCATACTCTCTAAAACGTCTAGAGGTTAAATATTTATAACTAAAGAGATGGTTGATTTACTTCCTCTCCTGTTTTAACTAGGGAGATGCAGGACCTCCAGGACCAGCTGCCTTGAGTGTGAGTACATGTAAAGAAAAACATCCAAAAGAAAATCCCTAAAAAATGCTGCATGTTTTTCACTTATTTGCAATGTGAATACTCCTACTTCTAAACCTAAAAGTCAAGTCCCTTTCTTCAGAGTGCCTCTGCACTTTCTATATGACTTGTGAAGGGAATTCTGTAAATATATAAAAAAAAAAAAAGCAGGTTTAAAACATCTTATTTCCTCCCAAATGCTAACAAGGATATTATCTTGTTTATTCTGCATATAAATAGTATAGACTTTTTCAAGCGAAAGAATTCCCTTATTATTTTTAGGGAAAAGCATTTTTCAGTAAAAGCTTGCAAAAATGATTGACACTTTTAGGGTATTGTATTCTGGCTAGATACTGCTGTATGGATGGTGGAAAATGTTCTTCACTTCCTTGCAATGGCCTCAAGTATGTACAAAGCCTGAAGAAAAGTGTTCCCAAAACTCTCCAGAGCATGCCATGTTTGCTTCAAAAATGCAATAAATCCTGTCTGAATTCTAGTGGTTTCGCTCATGAGCTGAGATGAAAAGCCTTTCCATTCTGAACAGTGTATTTGGGCAAAAGCAATTCCAATTGGTGCAAAAGACTGTGGCAAAAATGAAAAAAGATAAATAAATAAAGAGAAAAGCTTTCAAATTCCCAGGCTGTAGTTTCACAACATGAATAGGTCTTCTCCCAGACTCAGTGTTAGAGCTACATCTATACTATTCATATTACCCATGTAATCCTCAGTAAACTTCAAAAGAACTGCCACTCATTGTTTAAATGATTATGTATTGTCTATTTCCTCCCTTAATTTCCAACACCTTAGCAGCAAGGCTCTCCATTAGATCCTATAAACATTGAAGGATATAACAGAGACCCATAAGATAAAGATAAATTCTGCTCTTAAGGTGTCAAAATTAAGTTGCCATGTTTTATACTACTTGTTTTTTGAATTATGAATTATAATATCCTGTATCTCAGTTTCCTGGGAACAAGTTAGTGTTTTGTCCCAAGATCAGTGACTCTTTGCTGCAGTTCACATCTTGCTAAACAGGTCCATTTATGTCCTTTAGTTCTTGAATATACAAACTGTGTGTTGGAAGAATATTTTATTAAGAGTTAATACAATATTATTAGTAACCTGCAATTTTACTGTAGTAGATACATTGGGGTATACCTTGATTTAGATGGATTCTTACAGGCCTTGAAGGGATCACAGAAATAGGAATCAGACATGTCTGAAGATAAGACAGGAAAAAAGGACATCTATTTTGTGTGTGCTCTAAGACCATAGAACAGTCTTTCTGTTTTTTTATGCAAATGATTGAAAAATTATTACATTTGTTCTGATAGAAATACCTGGGTATGTTGAGTCTCTTTTTTTTAATGTGTTCATTGTCTTAAGCTGCAGTTGTGGACACTTAGCTTTTCTAAGAATTATACTCAGAGGTCAATAGTATGATATCAAGAATGAGAGGATATACTGAGTTGGAACAGACCCACAAGGATCATCAAGTCCAACTCCCTGCCATGGTCCAGGGGACAGCACAATCCCCAAGAGTCACACCACACACCTGAGAGCATTGTCCAAACACTTGAACTCTGTCAAGCTTGGTTCTGTGACCATTGCCCTGGGGAGCCTGTTCCAGTGCCAAAACGCCCTCTGGGTGAAGAAACTTTTCCTAAAACCCAAAAAAACCTCCCCTGACACAACTTCAGGCCATTCCCTTGGGTTCTGTCGCTGTCCCCACAGAGCAGAGATCAGTGCCTGCCCCTCCTCTTCCCCTCCTGAGGAAGTTGTACCTGCACTGAGCTCTCCCCTCAGTCTCCTCCAGGCTGAACAGACCAAGTGAGCTCAACTGCTTTTCCCTGCAGGGCCCTTCTTCCTCCTTGTGGCCCTCATTTGGACACTCTCAGAACTTAATATCTCTCATATATTGTGGTGCCCAAAACTGCACAAAATATTCAAGGTGAGGCTGCCCCAGAGCACTGCAGGACAATCCCCTCCCTTGCCCGGCTGGTGATGCTGTGACTGGTGCCCCCCAGGACACTTTTGTCCCTCCTGGCTGCCAGGGCACACTGCTTTCAGATTGACTGAACTTACTCCTTGTGTACCTGAAGTGATCCAATTTCATAAAATGGATGTCAAAGAATTGCATTTCTTTGATTACAGAATGCTGTGCAAATGTTTCAGTTCATTGATTCCAGCACAACAAGGTGTCTCTGTGTTGGTGCATTTCCTGATATTCGTCTTTACACTTTTTAAAAGAAAAGATTTAAATTTTAGGAAATCAGACACGGTCTTCAGAGGGATGTTAGTAGCTGATGTAGACTAGAGTGAGTGTGAATGGGTTTAGCAGTTTGAAGACAGATTACAGGAGAGAGGCAATATACAGCCCAGCAGGAAGGCTTTCTCTCTCTGCCACTGTAAATAGTTCTGCGTTTCTCTTGGCAAGAGCTAAAAGAAGATGAATTACATGAGTGATGGTGGCTAGGGCAAAACTCAGTTTTTAGAGTGGTTTTATTTGTGTGACTGTGTGGCTGTGACTCTTACAATATATAATCATGAAAGGAAGATGTCCTATCTTGCTGTGAATAAATAGTAGGTCAGATAATATCACAGTTCATGTGTCACTTAATGAGAACTTACTATGTCAGAGCCATTCATGCTGTTATAGCCAAAATATGATGTAAGCGTTTTAGTTATGAGTCCTGTTAAAGTTTTAAAATGTTCCATTCATTTGGGATGAAGGCATAATGCCATAAATTTATCTTCTGCTTCTAGTAATTTTTATTTTTTCCTAATGTGGAAATTATTTATTTTTATCTAAATGATAAATGAATCATGCTAGGGGGCAAGGGGGGAAGAGGAATGAAAATGATGACACACTGTTAGAACTAAGTCCTAAGTATGACTTTTGGGCAGGGAGGAAGGGAATATTAAAAGGGACCAGGTTTTGCTCAATCTGGACAACTGGGCCTGGGTCATCGACCTCCTGCCCCAGTGCAATTGCATACAGAGACAGGTGGTAAATGATGGCCTCATACAGAGCTCTACTGCCCTTTTCCATTCCTGTGTGTTTCCATAGAAATCATACATCAGTGGAACAAGCTGAATGTGATCTATCAAATATTCTTATTTCAGTATAAACTAGGCCATCAGTAGTGTTGTTCAGGGTCAGAACATTCTCCCCATACACAGACTTGCACCATGCTTCTATCCTTAGCACAGGGAGTGTGAAGGTAGCAAAAGACTGAGGCTGCTTCACTGCAGCAGCTGCTTGGTCCAGGGAGAGTTGCCTGTAGGTAACCTACAAAAGTATGTAACAGAATGCAGTAGAAATTCAAGGGGTTTTTTTGTCTGTGCTATTGACACCTGCAAAAGTCTAAAATATGTCAGTGACTCTGTGTCTAAAAGGGTTTGTGCAACCTTGATGAGTAGGAAATCCCACGTGGCTCAGAAGCATGAGAAAATACAGAAGAGAATGAAGGGATTGGTACTTGGAGGCAAAAATGTAATTTTAAGTGTTCAGCTGACAGATATAGCCATTATAGTATAGAATGAGGGAAACTTCAAGGCAGCACGTATGGCAGAATTCATAAATACCCAACAGCTGTAACAACCTATTAGGTAGATGAGAATATGCTAAACTGCATAACAGATGAAACAATAGCACTACTTTTCAAGATGCAAAAATTATTTTATGAGCTTGAAATTGAAATTTCATAGCTCAGAAAGTGCATCTGAAAAATAAAGTGGAGCTCTGGATCTTCCTGTTTGACGTGAGTTGACAGAAAATTTCACACTGAAATCCTAACAGCATGAACATTTAACAAAACTTCTCACTTGTAGCAATAGCAGAGAATTCAGAAAGAGATGAGTTTAGACTTCCATGTGTTTCTGTGCATTTATTTAAGGCACATACTAAGGTCTTGTTAATACAATTTCATCAATAATGCATGAAGAATTAGAGAAAAGAAACACCATTGTAATGCAAAATATGCTAAGCTGTAAGAAGAAATATGTGATAAATTTTATAGTATTTACATAGAACCCTAATGAAATTAGCAATTTCAATGGTTCAAAGTGTATTTGTTTGACTCAGGTATTATTCATGCAAATACATTTTATTGTAAATTTGGCATATATATGTGTATATTTGACCTCTTTTATGAAGGATGTAAAGTTTTCCTGTGTTTCTATGAGTCAGTTAACACTCCCCAAGTCCAGATATATGTATTTACTTTTTCTTCTCAGTTAGGACAGTAGTTTTATGGGAGTACTCCAAAACCGTGATCGATTCTCAGCCTTTTTTTATGCTTACTCTAATTTCTCCGCTATGTTCTGAATTTCTCTGTAAGTAGTAGATGTCTCTTCTCTTTAGTACTTCTCAGGTGTCTTATGGACAAATGCTGTGCTTATATTTTGAACTTTTCTCCTTTATTATGCCCCCTTTATGCAGCAATATGGAGGATGTTTAAAGCTGAAGTTCCCTGATAAGTTTTACTGCAGCTGATGAGCCTTCAGAGAGTAAAAAGGAGGGACTGTGCTGCTCTGTGGGGTGTTCTTGTCGAGATGTGGGATTTAGGGGAGAAGCTGGGGACTGGGTTCTGCAGGGTCACAGCTGGCTCCGCAGCTTGCCCGCTCTGGTATCCCCAGCTTAAGCCTGTGCGTGCCGTGTCAGAAGAGTGACAGGTGAGGGAAGGTAGCACAGCCATCTCTTGTAAAATATATGATAACTATTCCTCTCGACACTCGATACGCTGCTTTTAGTTCCTGAGGAAAATGAGCGTCCGTCCGTACGTTCCTGCGAACCTATCCCTTTCAGGAGTTATAAAATAGTCATCCAGATGGCACCAAGTGTTTACTCAGAAGCCAAGGCTTAAGTCGGTCACAGACAGAAGTCCCCAGGACTTGCTTACTAAACAGATATTTGGAATGTTGGCTCCTAGGTCTGGTTAAACCGATCCGAAGGAAGCTGGTGCACAAGTGCCGTGTGG